GGGATTTGGACTTTGATTTCCCGGAGGTGGCAGCCCTGCTATTGTCTCTGCCCATAGTGGAGAATTCTGGAAAAAAAATTGTAAGGAGGATGAAATATGCAAGAGGAAGGGAGAGAATTGTGTTTGTGTGTGTAAAAGTGAGAAGAGGGGGTCCAAATATATAGGAGAATGAGTTCCTAACGTTCAAAAGCTTGAAAAAATAGCTGTTGGAGCTTTTAATGCAGTTCCCAATGGTATTTTTTTTTTTGAAAAATTTGACCAGAACAGCGATGTTCTACAGGGGACATCGCTGTTGGGACAGCGCTGTTGTGCCCTTGTACAACGTTGTTCTGCGTCAAGTTTTAAAAAAAACAAGAGTCAATTGGACAGCGATGTTTGGTACCCTACAGCGATGTTCCAAAAGTTTCTGGAAATGTGTAAGGGTTTGAACCCATTAGAACAGCGCTGTTGGGTTTCCCTACATCGCTGTTTTACGATAGAAAAAATTTCTAAAAATGGACAGCGCTGTTGCAATGGTGGATAGCGCTGTTGAAAAACTTTCTGGTTTTGTTTGAAAACAAGGTGTTTTGGAAAATAGCTATGTTGAAAAAGGGACAGCGCTGTTGAAAAAGATTCTGGAAAGTATAAGGCCCCTGGAACAGCGCTGTTGGCTTGTTGTACAGCGCTGTTGGCACAAGCTGGTTGACGGTGTTTCTCTCAACAGCGCTGTTAGGTCTCCTGGACAGCGTTGTTTGCATGGTTCCCCCTGATTTCATGAACGGGGTACCTGCAAAAAAGAAAAAGTCCTCCGACGCTCAAGTTAGTAAACGTTCAACAAGTTTAGATGCACAACTTAGACCATCGTGGAGTCAAGGATTCCGAGTTCACTTCGAATGCGAAAGAACGACTCTTTCTCTAAAGGTTTTGTGAAAATGTCGGCTAATTGGTTGTGTGTTTCAACAAACTCAATTTCGACATCACCTTTGAGAACATGATCTCTAATGAAATGATGCCTAATGTCAATGTGTTTCGTCCTTGAGTGAAGAACGGGGTTCTTCGTCAAGCTTATGGCGCTAGTATTATCACAACGAAGAGGGACGTGATTGATACTAAGGCCATAGTCCACGAGTTGTTGCTTCATCCAAAGGATTTGAGCACAACAACTACCGGCGGCTACATATTCC